AGGCATGAACCGTAAAGTGTCAAAATAGATAACGCGAATTTAATTTAAGAAATTAATAAAGAAAATAAATCCATTCTCGAACAATATCTGAATGTAAAATATACACCCAAAGTGTTGAGTTGTCTATTGGGTCTTCTGAAAAATTATTATCCATTAAATTGTAAGTTTGAGAGTTCTTTACTACTTTACTTCTTAATAAATTTATATTTTTTCTAACACTAGGTCACAAAAATTTAGGTCACAATGATTCCTTGCTAGCAAATATCTAAAATATTTGACAAGATAAAAATTTTATCAAAAATTGGTGTTTGTGGAATCAGAAAATCGTTTATAGGATGAACTCAAATAAACCCCTCGTCAAACCATCTTTTAGAAACCTCCCTAACCTTCTTTTTTCAAATTAAAACGCCATTATATTACTTTAAATTCCCAATCTTTATAATTTTAACATTTTTCTCAATTTGTATTTAATTTTCACTTTGATGAAGCGATTTTTTTGCAAAATAAGACAACGAAAAATCACTTTTTACAAAAAAAAAATCTATTCGGCGTTGGATGTTGCGTTCATTCAAAACCACTACAAAACTCAACTGCCCTTCAAAAAATTTCCATCCTTTATTTTTGCACATCCGTTGCGAGTTGTGACATGATATAAACTCCAGAGATCCCATATAAAATAAATATTATTCACACTTTTCGTCCGCATAAATATGAGGCTGTCAAGTTCATCCCCTGGTCCTACGTATAGGCCCATCAGAAATGTATAAATATGTATAATGCAGCACTTGTAACAATGCCACTTTCGGTACGTTACCGGCGTTACTGCGCCGTTAGTTATGCACAGGACCGGTTCAAGGATAAAACTACAAATATTGAGCAGGATCTTGCTTTATGTATAAAGGTAAATTACAAAGGATAATGTCAGCTCTAGTTGGATTTTTTCTACAATTCCTAGTCTTACATACTTTTCGGTGTGTTCTATACTTTCTATATTAATTCAAGGATAAAAGGATGAAATTGAGCAGGATATTTATATTTATATTTTAAATAAATAAAGATGTGTACTTTAAATGAGGATTTTATTGGAAATATTGTTTCACACAGATTCGGTTACAATAACGACAAAGTATTTCGGACAAGTGACAAGTGATACAATGTCAGCAGGGGCGTGCGGTCCATGGAAGCGGGGAAGCACCGCTTCCCTACACTTTGAGATTTAAAAATAAATATTTTTCAGTTTACAATGCATAGAAATTAATTTTAAATTAGGTAAATAATATATTTTCTCTGAAACATTACGTAAACTTCGTAAATGTATTAACAATTCATTGGTGTAATGTGTAAACGCACGCACCACCCATGAGAAAATTAATTATGTAAACGTACACACCATATACTTCGAGTCCGCCGGCGGAAGCGCGTCTTGAAAAAGCCGTCTCATCTTCTAATTGATTTCGCTTCGTGTTATTGACCTTGCTTTGCCGCCACAGTAGTCAGTCTGTTTGGGCACGTGAAATACGGTCGAGAGGCAGCGATTTTTACGTCACATTACGCATTTTGCAATTCGCACCGCGAATCGACGTGTGAAGAAGATCGTAGACTTCAGGTAGATTTCGGTTTGTTTTTCGTATTTGTTTTTCTTTTTGTAAAATGGAGGAACTATGCACTGTGCCTGTGAACAATAATAATGTGGTAAATTGTACCATGCATTTTCACATTAAAAGTGAAATTAAAAAAGCACCTTTCACATACTATGCCACTGCCGGAACCTTAAATGGGAACGGGAATGGTACTTCGGGGTACAATATCCGGAACCTGAAGAAATCGCGAAAGCGCCCATCAGACATATTCTTGAATTCATCAAGAAAATCAATCTGATGGGATAGAAACTGTGAGGGGTACAATAAGCCTAGAGCTTCAGTACAAGTGGGCTTTGAACCACGCCCTAATTCAGATGATGGTATCCTGGTATACCTACGAGTATTTCATACATTTAACTTGAATTTAGGAAATCAGATGAATAATACATACAATGAGAAATAAACAGAAAGTGGCAGATGAAGGATAAGTAGGGGATCAAGAGAAGACATGCCATAGTTAAGACTTTTAGATCCTTTATTTTCGGGATAGATGATTCCCCATTCAATCTCTAATCTAATTGTTTACTTATTCGTCTCCAGTTCATTCAATAAGTTGCTAACTTCTTCGTATGCCTCATTTACAACTTTTATTTATTTCCTATATTTATATTGACATTGATTTACATTTTTTTTCTTCCATATTGGTCTTTCATCATAAAATTTACAATTTTATCTTCTTCAGTCCTCTATTATATATAAATCAATCACTACCCTCTATTCTTTTCATCTTTCCAATATCCTAATCTCCTATTAATTGTAATATTCCTTGAATGTTCTATTAAAGTTCTTCATACTCAAGCCCAAAAAGTATCAGCGAATTGGGCAATCATAGAACTTCCGCTCGATTGAAGTTACCTATACTCAAACTCAAGAAAGCATCTAAAACTTCAGAGATAATGGAATTTCAAAAAATCGACCTTCAAACTCTTTTCCCGTCTCAGAAAAATCTATCAGAGACCAAGACGCAACTACTGTCATGTAAATAAATTTTATACATCTTTAGTTGTATGGTAACAGCTGCACATGCCTTACAAACCTTTAAGGATAGCTGTAGCGTGCAGTGGTATTAGTAAAGACGCTATTACAGCTATTTTAAAACTGGTATAATTAAGACAAACCAAAACATTCTACAACGAAAGCGTTTGGCTACAGCTTCAATTTTATTGACCTACACCAAATCGGCATTAAAAACGTTTAACTTCATTCAACGTTTATAAGAAGATACCCATATAATAATCACAAAGGAACCTGTCTTCAAAATTCCATAATTTCCGAAGAAAATTCTGTTCATAATGAGAAAATCTGGAAGAAAATCTAGAACCACAACTATTTATCGACTACCATCACTGTTGCTATTATGTTACCTACATTAATCATTCAATGTGTCCTCTACAAAAAGAGATCTATCACCATCTCTGCCCTGGTCCACCAGCATCGCCAAGCCACGCTAAGATGATCAAACTTCAACTACTAACATCAGTTAGTAACAAAGTTGAGAGTGGCCATATTAAATTAACATCCTGTATATGAAATTAATTATTTATTTAATTAAAAGATTTAATTTCATATGCAGTTAATATAAACTTGTTCCAATTTCATTTTTTAAGTCAGGAATCTTGGCTTTGACAGGTTTCATCAGTTTTTTCTCTATTAACTTATATGAATGTTTTTCCGTTAGTGCTATTAACCCTACAATATCATGTAAAGAGTCCTGCTGTTATTCCAGTAGGTACTTCTTCAATATTGTCATCTTCTGAATAAATTATTGGTAATGATTCTTTATCTGATTTCGCCCTGCTGAGTTATTGCAACATTCCTAAGCTCAATTTGTAGTTACCACACGTGCAGAATTATTAAATACTTCTGGAACCAGTCCTGTGTCTTTATGCTAAAGTATAGTGGACTTTCCGTGGCGTATGCAGTCGGAGCGTTTGTTTGGATGCGATGCAGTGAAACTGCTCACCAAGTATGACGGATGACTGGCAAGCGGCGGCAATGAATATCTGGCAACGGATTTGACCGCATACAAATGAACAAGTGAAAAACTATTTTGATATGTTTTCGGCTACAATCGAGATTGTTAATACGTTGATTTTCGTTACTGTAGGCTGTAGATGATTTTAATATTGATTTATTTGCTAGTTAGGAAATAGGTAGACGGTTAAAAAGTGTGTCGAAAAGTATGGCATACAATCAACATAAGTATATTTTATTTATTTTTGAATATAAACAATTTTTCTCCATGGTAAATAGAATTCCTTTTTAGTGGCAAACGAAGTGTTATAATGGGGTTATATTACAGGAAAGGTTTATCAATATCCATTATCTATTAAAGAAGTTTTCCAAAAAAGAGCACATCAAGCTTCAAGCCGATAAAACCCGAGTTTTTCTCAAATTTTTATTCTTCAAGCTTTTTTTATTAGCATTTACCCCAATTTTTACAAAGTTTCTAACGTTGTTTTTTTTTTTTTTCAGGTATGTGTCAAATGAAGAATAATTCATTTTAACGTTTAGGAATATTTGGTAAGTCAATTTCTATAAAGAAAAAATGAAAATGGCAATACTTTTTTTAGTACAAAAGATCGTTATCTTTTATTGTACTCTTCACACAGTATAGTCTGTGAAGAATATTATGCATTGATTTATATTATGTATAAGTCAAAATTAAAACAATGATATCACTTTGAAAATCAATCTCTATAAAGGGGTGAAACATCTTGATTTTGAAAAAATTTGAATGAAATAAATTTTCCACATACTTATTGAAATAAGTTATTTACAAGCCGAAAATAAACTTGCTGGAAGCGTTTGTAAGTTTCCATGTTTAGTGGGAAATGACAAGAAAAAGTGACAAGTGACAATTGACATAAACGTCCGAATTCAGATTGTGATGTTTATAGTACTTCTCGTGGATAATTTTATAGCAAATTAAATTAATACGTTGTGTTAACAGGTAGGTTAAATAGGAAAGTTACAAATAGAAGTTTTGGGAGGTTTTTATTTCCACCAACAACCTCCCTTGAACGTTGCATTTACGTTGTACAGTAATGTTATTATATTCCCTTAAAAGGTTTGGCAACGTTATGTGCTAGCTGGGTTAGTTTATTAAAGAATAAAAACCTACCTTAGGTCATAAAAATACAGAACGATATATCAAAAAAAATAAGAAAATATTTTCAATTCATTCTTAAAGCTTTGCTGTTTATTATAATTATATCGCCACCTTAAGCTATTCATATTTCTAAAGAAAAAATAAACAGTTCTTTTTAAATTCTGCTTTATTGATTACATTATTAAACAATATAATTACAAAAAATACTTATAAAGTATAAAAAAAAAATTGAAATTACTTGTATACATAAAAAAATAATATTTTAGTTTAAAATTTTAACGACTAGGTAAATTAAATATTTTATTTCATTTTTTATAATTGTAAAATCCTTCTCCAGTCTTACGTCCCAATTTTCCTTCCTTAACTAATTTTCTCAATATCTGAGGACTTTCAAATAGTGGATTACCGGGGTATTTCTTATTCCATCCATCCAGAATAAAAAGACATGTATCTAATCCTGTGTAATCGGCCAATTCGAGAGGTCCCATGGGATATCCCGCTCCTAGTTTCATTGCTGTGTCTATGTCTTGAGCACTGGCATCACCTAAAAATAATTATTTAAATATTTTAATGAAGAACACATTATTTAATATTACCTCTTTCGTATAATTTAATAGATTCTGCCAAATACGGTACAAGTAGTCTGTTAACAACAAATCCGGGGGTATCTTTGCAGGTAATGCAAGTTTTTCCTACGGATTTTCCCCAAGCCATCACTGCTTGGTAAGTTTCTTCACTAGTTTCGGGAATTCTTATAACTTCTAAGAGTTTCATTATTGCTACTGGGTTGAAGAAATGTAAACCGGCAAATCTGTCTTTTCTATAAAAACAAATAACAGAAATAATGGTGTTAATACAATCAGAAATGTTTTAATTTATTAAAAGTGTCATAAAAGTCTTTATAATATAAAAAAATTCAGAATAAAAAAATGTAATCAAACAGTACTTGTTAAAATTTTAGGTTTCAGTATAAAGACACTAGTAGTGGAGCAAAATTAGTACAAAAAGTCGCTTATTTCTCGAAATAAAAAATGGGGTACAACCAGATCAGACCACATAAGTTTTGTAAAGTATATTTTTTTACATACGAAATTTTGATTTACGACATTTTTTTGCCTTCCAGATTTTTTTTAAAAAAAAAAAAAACAAGAAAAATTGACGATTTTTAAAAACTAAACTAAAACCAATTGAGATATCGACTTAGTTTTTTTTTAGGTCAAAGTACAGAGAAAAATGGTTTTAACAGTGCTAATTTTATTGTTAAATATGGCTTAGAAATTTATTTAAATAATGAACAAAATATAAATTCCGTAAAAATGTATGGACATTTTCAACAATCCGCAAACTTTTTTATTTGTAAAAATTTTACAGTACATGCAGCGAAGCAAATGAGCAAATGAGCATAAATAAGTTGTTAATTAAATGCTAATTTTCAGTTTCATAATGATACTCATTATAACACTGGTTTTTATTATGAAACTGAAAAATTGACCAATAGAAATCTAGATTTTTAAATAACCAAGTACCCTAATAACACCGATCTGCCAGGAACATCCCATTTAGGTTCCTTGTATGTTTCTATGTTTCTGACATAAATGGTACGTCCCTACAATGTCTCTAAAGAAACGTTTCTGGAATGATTTCTCAAGAACGTTTTAGAAACATCGTATTTATGTACAGGTATTTTATTTTCGTTCTAAATATTATTTTGAAATTATAAAATTAGTGCAATCACCTGAAATCTATAATAATATCAAACTCCAATATTAAATTTGAACATTTTGAACAATATTTTTATTTCACAAGACAACTGCTACAAGTCAAATTTATCTTATTATTACCTTCATAAAAGAGTGCAAAGCAAATACGACAGAGATTAATATATCCTTCCTTCTAATTCAGCAGGAGAGTTCGGTTAATCCTCCGCGAGCTAAAAAAATACACTATTGATAGAAGCCCTCGTGATGGAATCTATTTCTTTGCATTTAAAGTGTAGCACTGAGCTACAGTACTTATGAAAATGTCGTTTCATTTATACAAATTGTATGGATGGAAGGATATTTTAGATAAAAAGAAATAGACCTCATATTTGATTTGCTCGTGGAGTTATAACGGAACACGCCTACCGTATAATAGATCCAATGACAATTGACATATGACAAATATTTCATGAATGTTGACAGTTGAAAATAAAATGGTGTTTGGCCTCGCTTGTAATAAAGTTTGGATGAGTTTAAAAATAATAAACAACTTCTTTATAAACTTTTAAATAAACTAAAAGTGATAATAGGAGGCCGAATTGAAGGTATAGTTTGTGAATTTCTGAGGGTAAAGCTACATGAAAAATCACTTTCAATTCGAAGTTTGATTAGGCCTTGCAAATGTAGAAACAATCGTTATACGTACAAGCTATTCAAGCCAAAATGAAGAAGGTAACTTAATTTCCTTTAACAAAATATGGCTTTTATACATTCTAGTCTATTTAGGTATTGTATTTTGAAATTCACGGTAGCAATATTGTGTGTGAATTTATCAGAAGATGCATAGCTCCCCTCAAGGTACGAGTTGTGTAAGTTTTTTCATGCACTGGAAAAAAGGAAGTCGCCAAGTTAAAAATAGCTAAAGCCATTATGGATAATTATTTTAACTTAATATCAATTGTTCATATTGTCATTTAATTAAAACATTTTCAGATTCGGTAAATTGGTAAACAAAAAAGAAATAGAAATTAAAATAGATGCCTGGTTGTAGAAGGCTCCGGAAAGAAATAGACGCAATGAATCAAAACGTAATAAATAACAATTAATTTTTTTCTCAATTTTTTTTTTTAATAAATTTATGAAAAGAAATAATAGATTTTATTATCCTACTAAAAAAACGTTTTAGTCATTTCTGAAACGTTCCTGCAGTGGTATAAATATTTGCCTAGGACGTTTGAGCAACATCGCAGGATGTTCCACGAACGTCTCTGTGAAACGTCTCTAATACGTTACAAATGATGACATGGTCATTGCCAGAAACATCCCAGGTACGTTTGAGGAAAAATAAGAAACATGACAGAGACGTTTCTAATGTCCCAAGTGCATGTTTCTGGGACGTTCGTGAAACAATACTGTGCTATTAGGGTAGGCCACACACTTTGATTACTATACGGGACAAGAGAGAGGTCCGACAAGCCCAACATAGGGCGCGGCCATTTTGAACTCTATGACACAGTTTATAGCTAAAGAATCAGATCGCTCACTCTGCGTCAGCACTTTTTATCTCAATGTTCCAGTTTATACACTGCGCAACTCAGATAATACAATATATGACAACCGCCTATAATAAAACAGCAGTCTTCTGCGTATCCTGAATTTGTATCCCTTGAGTAGATGTTATTTTGGAACTTTCAACTGGTCCGAGTAAGCTAACATTATTTAGCAATAAACTGTGACTCCAAAAATAATATTCACTGACACTGACAGCAGCAAGCAAAATATCAGGTGCGTTTTAATCATCCGCTTCTGCTTCCGGAATTGTCGGTTCAGTCGTTCTAACCTGTCAGATTAAAACAAGAAAACCGACAATTCCGAAGCAGAAGCGGATGATTAAAACGCACATATTAAAAATATTGCGCCAAGATGTAGGCAACACGTAATAAGGGTTCAAAATGGCGGAGTTTTCTATCTCCTTTTAAAAGGCACTCAGAAAGCTGCGCAGTGCGACCATTCTCCGTATAGTAAACATTGGGGTAGGCAGACCCAATATTTTCTGTAGAATGTTTGACAGTTTCTAAGAGATTCGTATTTTATGACAGTTTCAATCTTTCGCGTTAGCCAAAAAGGTAGATAGGTATCACTTATTTTTAAAAAAAATGTCGAGCGACGAAGAGTTTTCAAGTACACCACCTGAAATCGCTGAAAAGGCGAAAAATGTAAGCGATAGTTTATTACCAGCTAAATCAAAAAAGGTATATGATAAAATTTATAGTCAATTTATGGATTGGAAGGTAGCAAGAACAGTATCATCCTTTTCTGAAAATGTGTTGCTAGTATACTTTGAAGAACTCTCAATTAAATTAAAATCCTCATCTCTCTGGACACATTATTCTATTTTAAAAACCCGACTCAATATTAAACAAGAAACTGATATTAGCAAATATCCAAAATTGCAAGCATTTTTAAAAAGAAAATCCGAAGGATATAGCGGAAAAAAATCAAAAACCTTTTTGCCAGAAGAAATTAAAAAATTTATTGATGAAGCACCAGACCAAAAATACCTAATGACTAAGGTAAATACATATTTTTTACAATTTATTACTTATTTTGCATAGCAGTAACATACGTATACAGGGTGGCCACTTTTTCATTGAAATGTATTGCTATCTCGTAAACCGTTGGTAACACAAAGTTGGTTAAATGGGGAAAAAGTTGCATATTTCGAAGTCCAATCTGAGGGCGTTTTGAAAACTAAAATATCAGGTCCGGTTTCCGAGATATTCGATAAAAAACAAATAAGTGCCATTTCTTTATTCCGCTACAGAACGTTTATTTGCAAAAATAGACAAAAACTCATTTGGAGTTTTTTGTTTTATATCAAATTGTGCGTATGATAGCGTATTTAGTTTTTTATCCGACGTTTCGTAAATGCAGGACCACCATCAACTTCTTTATTTGAATATGGACCAATATTTTCCTGGCTCACAATTTTAATGCATGTTCAATGTTGAATACAATGATGTAATAACATATTGTGATTAGTCAACATTTCGGAAGATTTGAACATCATCAGGTAAGTTTACAAGTACGGACCTGTGTTTTGTTAGTTAAAAATATTTGAATTAGTAAATGATGTATTATCAATGTAAGAAATCAGGTACGTTTACTTGTACAGACCTGTATTATAAATTATTTGAAATACACAACTACATTTTAAATGCTTAAAATAATAAAAAAAAAAAAAAAAATATGTATTTAACTACTTAATCACGTCAGAAACAAATAAATGAAAACAATGATTAACGATAAGAGAAAAACTACAGTAGTTGCTCAAAATGTCCTCCTTCTTCTTGAATACATAAGTCAATACGGTCTGTCATTTGAGCTATGCTGGCAGAAACCATTTGTGGAGTGATATTATTAAACGCATTAATTATCCTATCTCGTAATTGATTTAAGTCATTTGGAATACCATCATAATATACTTTATTTTTGATATATCCCCATACAAAATAATCCATAGGATTTAAGCAGGGTGACCTAGGGGCCATCGAATAGGTCCATGTGTACCAAACCACCTCCTGGGAAATCTTTCGTTTAAATAATTTCTGATTAATGCAGCATTATGTGGCCCACAGCCATCTTGCATAAAATAAATATTTCTTCGATCACCTAAAGGAAGATTATCTAACATATCTTCTAGCAATTGTAAATAGTTGTGTTGGTTGAGGTTTCCGTCAATAAAAATAGGACCAATTATTTTATTATTGAGTATTCCACACCATAAGTTTATTGAAAATCTAATTTGGGGTCTTACTTCTTGAATTAAATGTGGGTTGTCGGTGGCATAAAAATGTTTATTTTTTCTATTAAATATTCCACTATTAGTAAATGTCGATTCATCTGTCAACGGCAAAATTCTATTCTACGATTATAATCTCCAGGATGTAGCTTTTGTACAGTTTGGAATTTGTAATCATGGTACTTATGTTTTTTAAGAATGTTTTTCACAGTACTTGCAGAAACTCCACATTCTCGGCTTATTGCTCTAGACGACGTTTCAGGGTTGATATAAACTTGAGACAAAACATTTATTTCATTTATTGTATTACGTTTTAAATATTTACCACGTTTTTTTTTCAATATTTCCTTCGTGAGCCATATTTAACGCTATCCTATAATAAATTAATAAAGATGGTTGCCTCCTTCCTGGATACAACTGAAGGTATCTTTCTGCAGCTTCTCCACTATTTCTGTTACATTTTATGTACACATCGTACATATCTTTTTTCTCACTTCTACTGTAACGAACCATATTTTCAATACCCTAATTAAAAATATACACAATGCTTTTATCCGATACCAGACTGTCAAATATACAATAATAAAATGTGACATACCAGGTTAACTTGATTTAAATTTATCTGTATAATAATCAAGACGTGTTGCTAGATATACAATTATTATTGTAAGTAGGTATCTATCTGCAGTTTGTTAACTTTTTCTTTTTTATACTATGAGGAACCATATCAGTTTAAAAAATCCAACAAAATATGACAAATCAGGCTAACTTTATGTATTTAAAAATCGGGATGTACTTTATTTATATGAACTGCATGATTTAAAATTTCAAAACGTCAAAGATTTTAAGGACAATTTCATAATAAATATTCTTGACACGAAAACCAAAATACCAAGAACGTTTACAGTAACAGGAAAATACTAAATTATTTGTAAAAAATATATAAATTTAAGGCCGAAAAATTGTACCACACAATCTTTTTTTATTTGCTACCGAAACGGAAAATGTGTACAACAAAATATCGGTATAAATAAATTCGGAAATTTGGGTAAAGAAGTAGCTACATATCTAAATCTTCAAAACCCAAATCACGACTTTAAAACGACACGGCGGTTGGAAGACAACTGCGGTTGCCGAGAATTATATAGACAATTCAATACAGAGTAAAATTAATATTTCTAATCAAATTCTCCATTCAATTGATAATACAAATAATGAAATTCATATTAATTTGCCCTCTTCATCTACGAGTACAAATTCGTTTGTGACTAAAGATGGTACACCTCAAGTACTTTTTAATAATTGTACTATTCAAAATTTGTATTTAAACAAAATTGATTAAAATGTAATGTATCTTGTTTAATGTTAATATGAATTCGTTTATTGTTAGTAGTTATTTTATAGGAATAAAATTTAAGTCGAAAAACTTATTTTTCTTTCATATTTTATTTATTATTGTTTATATAAAAAAGTATTAAAAAAAAAAATAAAGCAATGTTAGTTTCTTGGTCGTAAAAAAAATAGTGTATGCAACTCTTATGTAATAGCTATTAATACACTCGCTTAAGATTTACGACACTCGCCTGCGGCTCGTGTCTTAATAGCTATCATTACATGATCGTTGCATAATATACTATTATAATATTGTTTTATTAAGCTTTTGCTTTTAATTCTGATGTGTGAGTATTTTTATTGTACTCATCGGATTTATAATAAAATATTTTCCTCTAAAATCAGCTTCTAATTCAATGGACTTCAAACGACTTTTTTGTGAGCTGTCATACAGTGGATTTCTGTAGTAACAGTTATGTTACATTAAACATGCATGTGTTACATTCTTCTATTTTGTTCTATGTAATGTCCATATTATTGGTAAATTCAATTTGATGATTAATTGTTAACATTGATTTTTATACCTAGATCAAAGATATTTATTTTTAATAAATAATTTTAAAGTAACTAAGCATATTATTTTTATGTTCTTTTAAGATACATATTAAATTAGATAATTCATGTGACATAAGCTGCTGCCTCAGTTTAACTTTATCAACCCGCTTGTCGCGACCATGTCGCGACGCGGGTACAATTTCTGATAGAGGCATTTTTTTTTATTTTCTGTAAATGTAATGTAATGTAAATGTAAAAATATGAAAATTGAAATAATTCGACTAATGATGTTTATTTATTTTAAATATATATTATTTATCGTAATATAACCCCTACAGTTTATCTTTCCGCTATATATTTTGTACTATTTTGATTACTATGAAAGTGTTTTAATTTCAACAAAATACCACCCATATAACACTTTAAAAAGTATTCAATGCGACATAAAAAAAAAAACAAATGTAAAACCAGCCATATCTGGAACCTTTATAGCCAGATTTTATAGTTTTACATTTATTTGATAAAAAAATTTGTGGTCGTAGGAAAATTATTGTACCTATACTACTTGTGTAAACGTGATATTTCACGTTCGTGTTCTTATCGCATTTGACTTATGCCTCAGACGGCCATATTTCCTACTCGTATGGAAAAAGTAACTTTCCACACATATAATGTAATATACTGTATTAGATAAATATTTGTTGACTTGTGTTCAAATATGCTAAATTTAGAAATGAATTATTCATCAATTATTCCTCAATCATTCATCAATGATTCATCAATTATTTGTCAATTATTCATCAATTATTCATCAATTATTCGTCAATTATTCATCAATTATTCATCAATTATTCATCAATTATTCATCAATTATTCATCAATTATTCATCAATTATTCATCAATTATTCATCAATTATTCATCAATTATTCATCAATTATTCATCAATTATTCATCAATTATTCATCAATTATTCATCAATTATTCATCAATTATTCATCAATTATTCATCAATTATTCATCAATTATTCATCAATTATTCATCAATTATTCATCAATTATTCATCAATTATTCATCAATTATTCATCAATTATTCATCAATTATTCATCAATTATTCATCAATTATTCATCAATTATTCATCAATTATTCATCAATTATTCATCAATTATTCATCAATTATTCGTCAATTATTCATCAATTATTCATCAATTATTCCATGATTAGATATATCAAAAAATTTCCATTATAAATCGTAGATAACACAGTTTTTTTTTAACATTATCTGGGTTAAGTAATATGGACATTTTAGAGAAAATGCGAATTTCATTGCTTACAAAATATAGGTGACATTTTCAGGTAAATTTCATCAACTCTATAATAGAAAAATTATCAATATTTTACGATTTCTTTTGTGAATTTCTCTCTTGAGATTTTTTTTTATTTGACCCTAACTGGAGAGAAAAATAGTGCAACTGGGCCATAATGACAAAAATGTAACAAGTAAATATTAATAAAACATTGCCCACCCGAGTGCAAATTTTTCATATGAGCCGAAATCGAGGACCAAAATCATAATAATCTCGTTATTTTCAGATATTAAATAGACTTTTTTGGATTACAATATAACCTTACCTTTTGGTCACTGAAGCTATTTGTCCAATGGACAGCGAGCTGGTATTCGAAGCGAATATAGTTTTTTGTGGAGCGGCATCGTCCAAGCTTTTAAACAACTTGTGTTTGATATCAATATTCTCCACTATGGCTTCCACCACAAGATCGGCTTCTGCCAAATTTTGTAAAGGATCGGCGTTGAATTTGATCCTAGAGAACGTCTCCGTGACAAATTTTTGGCTCGCTGTGGCGTCATCCTTGTGAATTTTTTTGGCTACTCGAGAAATGCTGTTTTGGATACTGGTTTCTGATTTTTTTAAGATGTCGGCGTTGAGATCGACTAAGGTTACTGTTTGACCCGCTTGTGCTGCCACCTGAAAATAGTCGTTATGTTTTATTTTTTTTATTAAATATATTAAATATATTAAATATATTAAATATATTAAATATATTAAATATATTAAATATATTAAATATATTAAATATATTAAATATATTAAATATATTAAATATATTAAATATATTAAATATATTAAATATATTAAATATATTAAATATATTAAATATATTAAATATATTAAATATATTAAATATATTAAATATATTAAATATATTAAATATATTAAATATATTAAATATATTAAATATATTAAATATATTAAATATATTAAATATATTAAATATATTAAATATATTAAATATATTAAATATATTAAATATATTAAATATATTAAATATATTAAATATATTAAATATATTAAATATATTAAATATATTAAATATATTAAATATATTAAATATATTAAATATATTAAATATATTAAATATATTAAATATATTAAATATATTAAATATATTAAATATATTAAATATATTAAATATATTAAATATATTAAATATATTAAATATATTAAATATATTAAATATATTAAATATATTAAATATATTAAGAATATTGAAAATATTCTTTAACTGAGAAAAATAGTTAGGTATGTGGGCAACTGGCTCCCTCTATCAAAACAAAATTAAAACATGTTAGGACACTTTATAACTTCGTTCGATGACGTATAGAAAAATTTAATATAAATAGATTCAGAAATTTTCGTAAAATAAAGAAAAATAGTTTTATTAAAGGCCTCCATTAAAAGCCCTATTTGACGCCCTAAAAATTCAATTTCTTCAAAACACTAAAATATTTTTAAAGATCTATCTATAGAATTATTTTGATATTATTGTTTTTAATGGATCACCTTCTATAATAAACAATACAAAAATGTAATAAGGCAAACTTCCCCGAACAATCAGACTTTTAGTTCGACTTGGCAACATTTTAACGGGCATTTAATTATTTAAGATTGTTTTTGAAACATATTTATTATTTTTATTTTTCCATGTTTTTTGGAAACTAATTAACTAATCAAAATTTTGATAAATGATGAGGAAATTTCTTATCTGCTTAGATAAGGACAGTAAATAAGGTACCTATATAAACAAACAAAGTAATAAAATTATACAAAATTGCCTCTACACATCTATTCAGTCGTTTTATTTAACATATTTAACCCTGTGTGCGAGACAAATGCGCCGCCACTGCACCACGACCTTAGCACTGAGCATCCGAGAGAAGCACAACAATTTTATTATTGTATGCAACAACCCAACATAACCTCAAAACATGATACCAAATAAATAAGTAATTTCTATGGATACTATCAATATAAAAAGCACTTACCTGCGCAATACCTGATCCCATCAATCCTCCACCGATGACAGTAACATTTTTTATGACATTCTTAACAGAAGTCGTAGCAAAACCTCTTTTCAATACATTAGAAACCGCTGCCATTTTGTATAAACACACTACTTATCGGATTAACACCACACACAACACTGTAGAGGTTACCGGCAACAGCTGTCTGCGTCTGGCTTGGAGAAATGTATAATAAATTTGATAAAATGTCGTGGTGAGAATTGAGTGAGTGTAACTTTGGAATATAATCAAAAATCAAAGTCGAGGTTGGGACGATACGAGTCTAAAGTTCGACGTTTAAGTCGAAAACAATTCGGCTGGATACAGTAGCGGCACGTTTATTTTGATTGCTAGTAGTGTAGTAGGTCAAGAATTGTTGGAATTGAGTCCAAATTAAATGTTATATTTTTACTTTTATAATTTGTTTGTCGATCCTCATGTATTTATTGACTTTGAAAAATATTTATTTATTAGTAGGTAGGTAGGTAGGTAGGTATGTATGTTTATATTTTTATATTCCTAATAACTTATGGACTGACATAACCCATTTTTTGACTGATTACGTTTACAATGGACAAATTTATTCTTGGAAAATACCTGCTACCAATGCTGTCATTTAACCTGCTTGTTATTTTATTTTTAATTGACTTTAAAAAAGGAGGAGGTTCTCAATTCGTCGGTATATTTTTTTTATGTATGTTTAGCGATAATTCTTAACCACCTTGTCCGATTTCTATGATTTTTTTTTTTGTTAGAAAGGGGGTACTTCAGGGATGATCCCATATAAATTTGGCCAAAATATAATAATGGAGTCTATGAGAAAATCCTCAAATTCTTCATTTTTTGTGTATATTTAGCGATAATTCTTTATCACCTTGTTTAATTTCTATGATTCTTTTTTTGTTAGTAAAAGGGTACCTCAGGGGTGGTCCCATATATATTTGGTTAAGATGTGGTGATGGCATCTGTACGATTTTGAAGTCGGTTTTCCAAAATTACTTTTAATACTTGTTATATAATGTTCAAGTTTACTTGAATACTAGTAATAAATAAAATGGCCGCAGTAGGTGCCACGATTAAAGTATTTGTAACTTAAATTGCTTAAAATATAATAAATTAAAAATAATGGAAATAGAGAAAGAACAGTTTGAGACAGAGACTGGATAAGGCGCAAAATACTCTGGATGGTTCTAAAAAATTGTTAAAGGAGAAATCAGCAAAAGATCCAACATTTTCTAAGTTATTATAATACGACAACCTCATACAAATTTTATAAGATTCTGATCCTTCTTCTGATATATATTCATTAATAGTTATTCAGAACAACCCATAGTGCTCATGTGCCTTATTTGGACTCTTTTTTTTTCTATTTATAACATAAAACAACAAGCAAGTTTAGTGGGAGCAAGTACCTAACTAACTTTTCTTCATCTTTGTCTTTAAATTGAACTTTCCTATTTAATTTTTAAGATTTTTATTATTACAAATGTAACAGATTAAATTTTATATTTCAATGATCAATAAAATTGGAATTTAGGAAAATTTTTGGAATATTAGAACTGAAATTTATTTTAAAAGAAGTAAACAATATTAACTTTAAAATACAAGTTCAAAATATCTAAATAGATGCTACAAACAGCATAACAAATATATATATCTGGATATATCTACTTGTATAGGTAACGAATTATGTCAAAAAAATCTATTTACTTGTCTGATCTGTTTTACAAAATCGCTTTATTATATAAACGTACAAAATTTTATACTCCTTTCAAAATACTAGACAAAAATTAATAGATCCTACTCCTATAGTGATTTAAAAAATATAAATATACTATAAAAAAACTTTATTTAAAAAGAAATTGAAAACATGCACAATGACGGGAATGAGGTTATTGAGATGTTGAAATCTCAAATAAAGTAATTTTCTATTTTTCTTTTTTACTAATAAAATATTCAATATCATCTTACCTGTTTAAGTATTATACTTATTTCTACTTTTACTCATATTTTAACTTATATTTTTACTTACTTACATTTTTGCTCATATTTTTACTTAAGTATATTTTTCCTTATGTTTTTACTTATAATTTTACTTATATTGTTACTTATATTTTTTATTATTGTTGTATATTCTTTTCCCCAAGTGCATTAATTTTTGTCTACCTATACAGGGTCTTCAATTAATCCTACCCCTATAGTGATTTAAAAAAATTATAAAAAAAACTTTATTTAAAAAGAAATTGAAAACACATAACTGACGGGAATAAAGTTAGTGAGATATTAAACTCTTACATAAAGTAATTTTCTATTTTTCTTTTTTACTAATAAAATATTCAATATAATCTTAACTTTTTAAGTATTATACGTATTTCCATTTTTACTCATATTTTTACTTATATTTTTTTCTTTTAGTTTTTCTTTTATTTTTACTTATATTTTTACTTATATATTTACTTAAATTATTACTTATATTTTTACTTATATTTTACTAATATTTTTACTCATATTTTTACTTATATTATTACTTATATTTTTACTTAGATCGTTACTTATATTTTTACTTATATTTTTACTTATATTTTTACTTATATTTTTAATTATATTTTTACTTATATTTTTACTATTATTTTTACTTATATATTTTTTATTATTATTCTATACTTCTACCTTAAGTGCAATAATTTTTTCTATCTAGGTATATACATGGTCTTATATAAAAATGGGACATAGAAAAACTGAAGATTTTTTAATTAAAAGTAAGACGGTTAAACGAAACATTCTTGGGTAAAATGCGACTCGTTAAAAATTAAAAAATTATTAATGGCTCTAATTTTTTTATTACTAAGTATAATTTTACTAAATTTAGGAAACTTTTCTAGTGTCTTCAGATACACCTATTAGTAAAAAACTAGTTAAACAAACTTTGCCAATGGCGTACGGCATGGGTAAGTATTACCTTCATCCCTTCTAAATTTTACTATCCAAAAACTTATTTTGGACTCTAATTTTAATTTTTTTTTCATAAATTAGATGCTCTTATTATAAACTCATAAAGTATTGGTTTTTGAGATATTCGCACCCAAAGGTGGATGTTCTTTATTAATTTATTTTGAAATTCTGAAATTTTTTAAATTTTGATGTTTTTTATAGGTTTTTAACTAGAGTACATGATTTATTAAAAAAATAGAAACAAAATTATAGTCCAAATAAATTTTTGGACAGTAGACAAAAAAATTTAGAGATGATGAAGGTGTTATCACTGGCAAAGTTTATTTAACTTATAAGTCCCATTCAAAATGGAACACCCTGTATTTTTTTTTCTTTGTGTTTAAGTAATAATAATTTTACTATGTTTTTTTGGCAAAACAAGTCTTAAAAATTTATTTTTGGTTTCCGTTTTACATATTTTCTGTAATTTATATTTATTTTAAAAATAAAATTTTATTTGGTGTATTTGTAAAACCCTTCCCCAGTTTTTCTGCCCAGCTTTCCTTCCTGCACCAATTTCTTTTGAATTTGCGGTGGTTTAAATAGTTCGTTATCTGGAAATTTCTTGTGCCATCCCTCTAGAATAAAAAGACCTGTATCCAGGCCAGTGTAATCACCTAGTTCAATCGGTCCCATAGGATATCCTGCACCTAATTTCATGGCGATGTCTATGTCTTCGGCACTTGCATCTCCTAAATAATTAATGTTCATGTTTTAGTAGGAAAAGTTCATAGTTTATGGGGGAATTCAAAAACAACATCCTATATAGAATGATAAAAATTATTTTTTGACGCGTAATATATATGAACATTATTCATTGCAATTATTTGTAACTACAAGAAAAGATTTTATATATTTAAATTATAGGCCCATATTTAAAGAAAAATTAAATTTACCAATATGTATTCCTTAAAATAATATTGGAAAAACTTTTGCTACTCTACAAACCCTTAGTGGATAGGTTAAACCAGTTTTAAAAAGAAGTGTTTGGAACACAAATCAATTTTCAGCATACTACATGCAAGCACCTCTGCAGCATTTGAAGGCCTGATGATGTAGAGGTCTTTAGAAAAACTACAGGATGACCAGAAATATTTAAACTTTTCAAACTAAAACTTACATATCGAGCAATCTATTAATATTTATTGAGAAGCTTGTTACCAACTAAAATGGGATAATTGATAGATAATATTTATCTTTATCTATTATAAACAAGCATAGATTATTTCTATTCCACAAGGTTATAGTTTTTGTTATTTGTAGAGATACACCTAGTATATATATTAAATAATATTGTTATCATACCTCTTTCAAGCATCCTTACAGCTTCAGCGACGTACGGAACCAACAACCTGTTCACCACAAATCCAGGAGTATCCTTACAAGTAATACAAGTTTTTCCTACGGCTTTACCCCAAGCCATCATAGCTTTGTAAGATTCGTCTGTAGTTTCAGGTATTCTAATAACCTCCAGCAACCTCATTACTGGTACTGGATTGAAGAAATGCAAACCACCAAATCTATCTTTTCTTTTAGTAACTGAAGCTATTTCGCCAATAGAAAGCGAACTGGTATTCGAAGCAAATAAAGTCTTCGATGGAGCAGCTTCATCTAAACTTTTGAACAATTTATGTTTGATTTCCAAGTTTTCTACAATAGCTTCTACCACTAAATCTGCTTGTTCTACGCTTTTTTGCGCATCTGAAATGTATTTAATGCGAGATAAAGATTCTTCTACGAATTGTTTGCCAGCTGCAGGATCATCTTTGTATAGTTTTTTGCCTACTCTACCGATGCTGTTTTGAATGTTGGTTTCTGATTTTTTGAGAACATCTTGACTTATGTCTACTAGAGTTACATTTTGGCCGGCTTGGGCAGCTACCTAAAACAACGCCATTTTGTTCAATCTAGTTTGAAAAATTTTAATTTGTTTAGTAATACTTTTACTGATATCTTTATAAAAGAAGTTCCTCAATAACTAAAAATATTATATTTTGAACCAGCTGGTCTGCTGAGCCTTTAATTACAGTACCAATCAGTACTGACTATGGATTAATAAAAGATATTTTAATATTATTATAGACAGCATGATTACTTAACTTGTTGAAATATCATTTATTGTGTAAACACAGCTTAAGTCAGTTAGTTATATTTAGTTTTGTTTGGTGGCATTACTGTACGGTTCACAGAAAATTGACTTATGTCAGATGGTGTTCTTAGTTGATTAAAATTGAAATAAATTTATATAAAGAAGTTAAAAACTATTATTTAATCTATAAAGTAAATTATACAAAATTTTAACAAATATATTGTAAACATTTTCATCCACACTGTATGCGATAAAAATTTATATTTAGATAGAAAATATCTTACTTGTGCGATGCCAGATCCCATGAGCCCCCCACCAATCACAGTTACATTTTTAATAACATTATTTAAAGTACTGGAAGATGCAAAAGTTCTTTTAGCTAGGTTTCCGGCAATAGTCGCCATGTTTGTTTCGAACGACTGTACTGTTCACAGAATGAAATAATACTAACAATAATTAAGTCAGATAACCTGATAAATAAAAGTCGATGATAATGTTGACATTACTTTTTAAAACGGGTTCTGTTCTAGATAAAAATAAATTGATCAAAAGTAAGAGCCCAGATTAAAACTTGTTTATTAAACTTAGTTAAACACTCAAATATTACAGCAAGATTACATTTTATATCGTATAAATAAAAAAATTTATTTAATCACATAATTTGATTTAATTTATTAATAATCCGTACAAAATAAATTTTTTAGTCCTATAATGTACACACCTTTGGAATAAAATCTAAATGGCTAAATATTATCTGTCTTTGTTAAAAAAATGCAGAATAATGACCAAAGGTTAAAATATAGTAATCATCAATGTAAACAACTAATCATGTTGTTCAAGGCCAAAGGTATTGCCATTGAATTAGATTGAAAATAAGTTTTGAAATAGGGGAAATTGGGGCATAGTCTGACGTTATTTTCTTTTGAGTGCAAGAATTTCTATTTGATTTTTAAAAAAAAATTCAAAATTCTCGATCTAGCGCCCCATAGTCATTGACGTCGGAATAGCTTTTCTTGGGAGAGTGCTTAAACCAAAGTTTATCTTGGTTAGTGGTGAACCTTGGTTCAGGTTTACCAATAACCAAGAAATGCCACTGGTGTAATTGATAAGTCTCAATCATTTCAAAGAATTTTTAAAGGTAATGTAGTCCCATATTTTCTTTCTTAAAAGAGTTATTAGTTACAGATTTGGAAATAATATCCAATATGGCGAACATTTTGACAACTGTCATAAAGTATTTTGGTCCAGAAATGTTCAATAGATAAAAAACTGCGATTTACTGTTATTTCTATAAAAATCGAAAATATGCCAAACTTTTAAACAAAAAATATATAATCTGATATTTTAATTAATACCAAAAATGGGAGGGGTGGAACTTTTTTAAGTGCCTTATCCTTAACAACAAATCTTATACTAAAGGTTGAATAATTCACTTAATTCTGCTAATTTAACCCGTCACCGTTACTTTGAACTATTTTAAATTATCAACGCAAAAATATATCAGTTAAAAAAAAAGTAGTGGTCCAAGCATAGAACGCTGTGGGGAACCAGATCGAGAAGAGAACTTTTAAGCAGTACACCTTGCATAAAAAACAGTTAGTAGCAGTAATTGATAGTAGTAGTAAACGATAGTAAACGATAGTAAACGATAGTAAACGATAGTAAACGATAGTAAACGATAGTAAACGATAGTAAACGATAGTAAACGATAGTAAACGATAGTAAACGATAGTAAACGATAGTAAACGATAGTAAACGATAGTAAACGATAGTAAACGATAGTAAACGATAGTAAACGATAGTAAACGATAGTAAACGATAGTAAACGATAGTAAACGATAGTAAACGATAGTAAACGATAGTAAACGATAGTAAACGATAGTAAACGATAGTAAACGATAGTAAACGATAGTAAACGATAGTAAACGATAGTAAACGATAGTAAACGATAGTAAACGATAGTAAACGATAGTAAACGATAGTAAACGATAGTAAACGATAGTAAACGATAGTAAACGATAGTAAACGATAGTAAACGATAGTAAACGATAGTAAACGATAGTAAACGATAGTAAACGATAGTAAACGATAGTAAACGATAGTAAACGATAGTAAACGATAGTAAACGATAGTAAACGATAGTAAACGATAGTAAACGATAGTAAACGATAGTAAACGATAGTAAACGATAGTAAACGATAGTAAACGATAGTAAACGATAGTAAACGATAGTAAACAATAGTAAACGGTAGTAAACGATAGTAAACGGTAGTAAACGATAGTAAACGGTAGTAAACGATAGTAAACGATATTAAACGATGACAAACGATAGTAAACGATAGTAAACGATAGTAAACGATAGTAAACGATAGTAAACGATAGTAAACGATAGTAAACGATAGTAAACGATAGTAAACGATAGTAAACGATAGTAAACGATAGTTAACGATAGTTAACGATAGTAAACATCTCTATCATAATCTCTTTCTCGTGCGTGTTTAAATTTTGTTCAAAGAAATAAATTTTTTAAACGAACTACGCGGTTCTCCAAATTAAAATCATACTGATACTTATGCGTATAATTTTTCACAAGGCCTACTTTACTTTAGAAACATTTTTTTTTAATCACACCCTATATTTAACATTTCTGTTATCCTTCTTTATTTTGCAGTTCTATATTCGACAATTTATTTTCTGTAGTCATAAATATTTTTGAAATTACAGTAAATTTTGCTAAAAATGTGTATTTCCTCAAGTCTACTACTACTACTACTTTATGGTAAAATTTTTCTCGTGTATTATTATTGTTATTAGTATTATTATAATATAAAACCAAAAACACTTCTGTTCAAAAATTTCATAAGGCGTAAAGCGACCTTAAAACATATCCAAAGATGCTCGCTCAGAAACAATAAAAACCTCAGAACGCTTCCTCAAAGGAATTTCCAAGTTCCAATCGTTACATTCACATAAATTTTTCGCGAAGCTCTCTAAAAAGCATTTAGCACATTCGTCTGCTCATAACCACTTTCCCGTACGTTTATTCAATGGCCGTTACCGTGGCTTTCTTTGATCGTTGAATTTCAAAGTAACGTTGTGTTGGAGAAAAGAAAATTTTCATATGAGTTACTCTCTGTTTCTAGATTAAGGGAAACTCTTTTTGTTTTATTAAAAGAAGGTAAAATTGTGGCACTATTGTAAAAATATTTTATAACTAAATAATAATGTATTAATCATTTTTGATAAAACAATAATAATATAGGACAGGTCAAATATAATATTCACAAATAGCGAAAGATCAACAGCAAAAAATTCAATACGTTTTTTTTAAATGCACTAACTATTATCCTAAACGAGGGTTTGAGCATTTTGTGTTATTAGAAACATTTGATTTTGAGTCTCTGGCATTACGACAAAATATTAACGCCTTATCTTTTATTCGTGTTTTTTCTTTCGCAATAAAATTAATTGTGTGCTTTTAATGCTTAAGTCCAACTCCTCGTTACGCTTAGATGGTATCTCCTTTTTTCTTTTAAAATCTTGTGTCCCATTTCTCATATAATGACTTCCTCCTTTAATTCTTACATCTGGCCATCTATATGGAAGACTGCGTCAGTAACTGCCATATTCAAAAAGGGCAATAATCTTGACCTAAATAAGTATAGACCGATAAGCCTTGTATCAATAGTTTGTAAAGTAATGGAGTCCACCCAACAACATAGATTTATCTTAACTAATCTCTTGCAGTCTGGCTGGACAAAAGCCTTAAATGTTGGTCTTCCTACAGATGTTATATACTTGGATTTTTCTAAAGTATTTGATAGAGTTCCAAAGTACTGACTTCTCAAAAAGATTAAACACCTGGGAATCCGAGGCAACCTTATAGTTTGGGTAACGGACAGCTTAACCTTCAGACAATTTCGCGTAACTTTCAAACCAAATCCGTTTTCAGTGGAATGCCTCAAGGATCAGTCCTTGGTCCCCTACTGTTTCTATTATATATTGCCGATATTTCTGTCCACATAAAAAGCTGTTGCTCCTTCTACGCAGACGATACAAAAATTTACGCTAATCCGATTGCGGACTATTAGTCTCTTCAATCTGATTTAAGTGCGGTATCAAAGTGAAGTTAAGACTGTTTATTACCGCTAAACGTTGAAAAATGTGTTGTTCTTCATATTGGTAAAAACAATCCTAAATTGGTGTATAATGTTAATAATAATGCCTTAAAGACAGTATCGTCTCAAAATTATCTCGGCGTTATCATTACTAAAGACTTAATGTGGTCAATATTTTTGAAAATATACACAATATATGTTCGTCCTCGCCTAGAATATTGAGGTCCTGTTTGGTGTCCCATATTATTATCGGATCAAAAGAGGTTATAAAATGTGCAGCGACTTACGACAAGGCTTCCGTATGGTATAAGAAGGCCACCGTATGAACAGCGTTTGTCTACGGCTAATCTGACTCTTCTTAGTGAGCGTCGACTGCGTGGTCATTTAATCGTTTATTTTCGCGCAATTAGGCATACGTTCGATGTCGATCTTTCCTATTTATTTGTATTAAATATTGATTGGAATGGCTTTAAGTTCTTTTCTATTTGACATGCTTTTAGATCTAGTGCCCTTGGATTTTGGATTGCTATACATTTCTTCCTCCTTCTCCTCCTCGCAAAATTTGCTTCTAGTAGTTCCAGTATAAGAACACCTCGTAAGAAAAATAACATACATTCATTCTACTTTAATTTAATGTCAACATACATCTTCTTTCCGTTGAAAATCTAAATTAACTAAAGAGAAATTTCATTAAAACTATCCTAATAAATATAAACTACCGAACAGATTCCATATAAAGAAATGCTTATAAGAAACTCGATTTATCTTAATATTTCTCCGACTACTTTGTACATAAGTTGGAAATAAAATATTCCGGTACATTGCAACCGGCGTGAAAAGTTAAATATTTCATCATCTGCTTTTCAAATTTATCAGTGTGTAAAACTGACTCGTAGCGCTGAGAAAATAAAGAAAGAAGAATAAGAAAAAAGAAATGAAAAGAAATAAAGAAAGAAAAAGTCTTTGCTCGCGTTTGTTGATTTTTCTTTTGCTTATATGTCAGTGTCGGAATAAGGAGTTGGAAAAATCACTGTCACAAGCGAGTCTTAAAGGGTAAAAACTACCTTAAATATTTCACGAGTTACTTTTAGATAAATTGTCTTATGAAAAATACAAGGAACGGCTTTTACGGCCTGATGGAGAGAATGCATTGCTCTCGTTTTCTTTCCTGGATAACGGATCGTCTTTACGACTTTTAGTTGTGTACAAACTTTCTTAGACACACCAGACATACGACTGTAAACTCCTAAATTTAAATTTCGATGCACTAGACCATTAGTGGTTAAGTCTTTATTATTATAGTATCAATATTATAGTGTAAGGGATAGCCGAAAATACAAAATAAATTGGATGGATGACTTTAAAACTTTATTTCACTAAACATAAAACATAAATCACGTCG